GATTCACAAATCAGCCCGGCAGATGGCACTGCAGTCAGTGTCTAGGTTAATTTCTCCTAAACGGCTGAACTAATTTGAATGAATTTTTGTTTATACTTATTCAAGTGGATATGCAGGACGACGTCTGTCGGGTCCGCTAGTTGCCTTATAAAAATGCACACTTATAAAATACATAATACACAGAATAAACTGAAACCCCACGAACAACACCAAAGAAATATAAAACCACATACAAAAACAAATACGTACAAAACGAAAACCAAACAAATAAAAAATGTTCTCATTTCATTTCGTTCGATACATCTTATCCTTTTCTTCGCGCCCAACAAATAAAACAAGATCGGATTCGTCTCGCAATAAACTTACAAAGGTTCCAACTTCTAATCCCGGACTTAACAAAGATCCTAAACTTCAATACGAAACAGAAATAACTTTGTATAATAATATAATAATGTTACTGGACATAAATCCAGGTACAAATGCCTCGGCGGTCAAGTGTGCCTGTCCAACCAATGAGGTTCGATTCTCGAGTAATCCTAGGTATATAATTGAGATCTTTAGCTATGTTTCCTATGTCCCTAATTTTTAATACATCTGTTTAATGATTGCCTGTTATATCACTACATAGTATAAAACAAAGTCGCCATCCGCCGTCTGTCTGTCTGTATGTATGCTTAGATCTTTAAAACTACGCAACGGATTTTGATGCGGTTTTATTTAATAAATATAGTGGTTTTTAAGAAAGCTTTATATGTATAATACATGCATATTGCACTCGTGCGAAGCCTGGGCGGGTCGCTAGTAAATTTATATATGGGTTATGCGTAGCTGTACCCAATTGAGTAAAGCAAAACAGCAGCCAAGTCACTCTTCAACCTCGTAACATGAACATTTTATATCTTATACCTACTATTATATAAAGCGGAAGAGTTTGTTTTTTTGTTTGTTTGTTTGAACGCGCTAATCTCCGTAAGTACAAGTCTGATTTGAATAATTCTTTTTGTGTTGGATAGCGCATTTATCGAGGATAGCTATAGGCTATAAAACATCGCCCTACGACCAATAGGAGCTGAGCAGAGCGTGTGAAGCAGCTAGTCATATGATAAAATTGCTAAGTTGCGACGTAAAAGAAAGGCAACCGACAAACACACTTTAACATTTATAAGTAAGGATTATCGAACACAAACCCATTTATTATAAAGGAAATAGTTAATGGTTAATTATTAGTTTACGTACAAAGTTTTGATACAAAACAATGCTATTGTTTACGTGTGGCTTTGGTTCCGAAGTTTATCTGCAGCGCTGGACTCAGTTAGCTGATTATTAAAACCTCATTTTCAAAGTTAGCTATGGTTCGCTCCGTCTCTGGTTTTGGATTCGATTGCAAGTTGGATTTTAAAGATAATTGGACATATGCACAATGAATTTTGGGGATTATAGTATAATATAGCGGTATTAAAGACTTTATTTTCTTATCTATTTTTATTGAACAATGTAACAAATCACATTTTTAATAAAAAACAATAATAAGAAGATGATATGGGTAATCCCATCATCCCATCGCATTCTGTGATATTATCTTAACAAAAAAAGTTAATCACGATCATGAATGTGATATATTAAAAAAAAATACTCTCAAATGTAAAATTGTTTAGAAACGAACCTAACTCTTAGGTATTCGTAACACACTAGATGTAATACGACTTTTACTGGATACTATTACTGCGAAAATACCCGGAAAAATATATTTATTGAAACTATATTAATGAACTGTAACATGTAAGACAAGACTTACATTTCTAGTTTACTTTTATAATAAATATAATG